ACAGTAGATGGAAAATTGGCCCTTCAGTCAGGGCTGACAGGTTTTCTGGATAGAAACAGGGCAGGCCAGGCCAGACCAGGCTAAGCCTTTGGCTGGGGCCATGGCACTGCTGAGTCCTTGGCATGCCAGTGTCATCATGACAATCATAATTAGTGCTTGTGTAGGCAAATGGAAATGTCAAGGTGCACTGGAGGAACTCAGGGACAGCATTTCGCCAGGCCTGGCTGATTGATGGTACATTTTGGCCTCTTTCTTAGGAGAGATGCAAAAACGTCTCCCAGACTTCCCCATGCTCTCAGCAATCCCTCAACTGCTGGGGACATGCTGTGGGGAGCTGGGTGGCAGCACAGGAGCACGCTAGGATTTCAGCAAGCTCCCCTTCCTCCACAGGAACACACTCCAGACACTAAGCCTAAAATAGATCTATATATACTGGCAGGGAAATCTGCCTGTGGTCTATTATTGCACGGAAAAAGCAAGTTGTATGGCTAGCATGATCTTATTTTTTAAATTAATATTTGTTCATATATATCTATTTATCTATTTGGTTGTACATCTCTGTACAGAAGTCTAGAAGGAAATCCTCCAGACTGTTAACAATGGCTACTTATAGGGATTTAGAGGAGGGAGTAGCTTCTATTTTGTATACTAATTTATCATTTGATTGTTTTTATAACAAATTGTAATTATAACAATTACGTGCATAATTTTTAGATAAAATTTTACTTGAGAATTTCCTCTTCCAGTTTCCCTGATGACAGTGACTTAACAGTATGCAATAAGACACTTGGGATAATTTGCAGTCAGTTCAACTTCTAATAGGCATCTATTCTGGGCACAAGTCAGGGTTCCTACTCCAGACATAGTTCACTGTCACAGGAGGCAGCCTGGAGCAGGGCTGGGATACATGCTATGGGTGCACGGTCCTGTCATCTGTGGAGGGCCTCCTAGCGCTGGGCACATTGCAACTCTTCTCTAACTAAATCCTTATGGTTGACCATTCGGTCAATGAAACTCGAGCACCTGAGGTGTGTCAGGAACTGTACTAGGTGCCTCATCCACTTAGTGAAAAAATAGACACGGTACCTGCTCCATGTCATCTTACCAAAGAGAAGTTTAGACAAGTTCAACAACTTGTGCAAGGTGACTCAGCTTATAATGGAAGAGAAGCAATTAATTTTGACTCTTGTGACCTGGAACACCTTTCTGAGGGAGGTGACATTTGAACCTCACCTTGAAGAATGAGCTAGATTGGGACAGACAGGCAAGAGGGCATTTCAGGCCAGGGGACCCTGCGGCATGGGCAGAACTGGAAACACGCAAAGCAGATGTTGGGCACAGTGATGGTTCCAGAGTGGCTGGAGGGCTGGGGGGAAGCAGAAGAGGAGAAGCCAGCCTGGAAAAGCCGGTGGGGGTCAGACTGTGCAAGACATGATTGCCACATCTTTATCCTAAAGGCCACAGGGACCGATCGTTTTGTTGTCATTTCCCTCAAGGGAGTGATGTCAGCAGACATGCTTTTAGAATGTCGAAGGGAAGAACAGCATGGTCTGGAGTCTGTGGAGCCAGTTTGCCTGGGTTTGGATCCAATTCTGCCACTCGCAAGCTCTAGAAATCCGGGCAAGAGACTTAACTTCTTTGCCTCTTAGATTCTCCATCAGTAAAATGGGGCCATAATAATAGCGCCGGCCTCAGAGAGTGATTGTAAGAATTCAGTGTCCTAATATAGCAAAGGTTCACAGGAGTGCTGGGTGCGTAATGACGATACATAAATGTCAGTTATGACTCTTGGCCGTGTCAAGGGTAGAGTGGGATGAGACGCGAGGCAGGAGGCTACCGCCACCGTCCAAGTGAGAGATGAGTTCTTGAACGAAGGCCACGAGGATGGACAGAATGAAAGCATGGAAGCACCACGGGAGGGAGGAGTGGACTGACTGGCCACGGGAAGGGAGGGAGGCGGTGACAGAGCGGGTGGAACAGAAGCAGAGTCGGGAATGTGGCAGGGAAGGCACCACGTCTCAGATGACTGGAAACCCACATTCACGTGCCACTCAGTACAGTCAAGGATCTTATTTGACTGAGAAACAGACACACATCCATTTTACACTCAGCATCTCTGGACCGCATAAGATCTGTGGTCTCTTGATGTGTCCAAGCAAAAACAAGAGCAGGACCCCAGCCCGAGGGTGGGCCTGAGAAAGCTTCTGCCTCTGGGGCCCTTCTCCCCAACACTGCCTACCAGGTGTACCCTGTGTTGATAAACAAAGTCCAGCAGGTATAAATTAAGTATACCAGAAGAGACCAGAGCCATTGATCCAGCCTGTCTGTCAGCACAGGCTTCCTGTTGGAAATACCTCATTTCCAGAAAGGGCCTCAGTAATGTTTTTTCTCAATTAGCCATTTGCCTACCAATTCTCTTTAGATATTAAAAACAAAAACAAACAAACTATGAAAAAAAATAAGAGCTGGCCAAAGCCCACAATACAAAGCACAGAAAGAGGCACAGGGATTGCAGAAACGAGCAGACCTGGGTTCCTCTGCAGAGCGCAAGCGTGCCCTTCACTCCTCCTCAGCCTGTTTCCTCACCTGAAACACAGGGGTAATGATGTATGATAACACCCACCTAGGGGGATCTTCAGATGAAATAATATTACAAAGCCTACCCGATAAATGTTAGGTCCTGTCTCTCTCAAATATTCAGAGGGGCAAAACCGATCAGGCCATAAAGTTACGCATTATTAGTTTCTAACATTAGGGTTATAATTCACATTATTATACTCCACCTTACCTCCTCCTCAGCCTGTTTCCTCACCTGAAACACAGGGGTAATGATGTATGATAACACCCACCTCGGGGGATCTTCAGATGAAATAATATTACAAAGCCTACCCGATAAATGTTAGGTCCTGTCTCTCTCAAATATTCAGAGGGGCAAAACCAATCAGGCCATAAAGTTACGCATTATTAGTTTCTAACATTAGGGTTATAATTCACATTATTATACTCCACCTTACTCAACAATGCAGTCTACGAGCCTTATGTTGCCTGCATACTCATTACGAGTCTCCAAAAACTTGGGGAGAGCCACCCTTTGATAGAGCTCCACATCATATGGAGAGAGGGTCCCCCTCTGGGCTCCCAGAAGCTTCAGGTTCAGTTTTTTAAATCGTGTGTGTGTGTGTGTGTGTGTGTGTTGATAGAGCTCCACATCATATGGAGAGAGGGTCCCCCTCTGGGCTCCCAGAAGCTTCAGGTTGTTTTTTAAATCGTGTGTGTGTGTGTGTGTGTGTGTGCATACATACATCTCCCAATATTCTAGAAAGGGAAAAGTTTTGAGGGGGATAGTCTTGTCAGTAGGGAAGCCTGGCTCACCTGGGTATGGTACTGGGATGTCTGCCTGCCAGGAACAGGGGCAGATAAAGGAAGCACATCAGAGACACATTACTGTGCCTGATAAAAAGGTGACAGAAACAATTAAACAAAACATCCTTTCATGGCAGAAAGTTCCTTTTATTTGGACAACACAGAACTTTTCTTTTCTTTTTTTTTTTTTTAAGAAAGGAATATCATAGTTCCTGATTGGTTTCTCATTTGCCACCAGACTCCTGCTTACTCTGAGCCTTGGCAATTTAAAAGGGGCTGTCTCCCCTGCAGTTCTCAGAGGCCCCAGCCCCAGATCTCAGGATGAGACCAGCATTCCTTTGGGGCAATGACGTGTCACTTGGAATAACTACACAGAACTGCTGGGATTGAGGATTTCTCTCCCGTTGTGTACAAGAGGCCAAAAGAAAGGCCACAGCTCAGGAGGTATCTCATACCAGCTGCAAGTTCTGGTCAGGGCAGGGAGACGGGGGGAGGGGGAGGTGGCAGTTTGAAGGGTGCTCATCCAAGCCCTAGAGGCCAATGTGGTCCTCAGCTGTCTTCTCAGAGTAGTCCTGAGAGGCTGAGTCTGGCAAGCTGCAAAAATCCATCCTTCATGCTAAATGAGTCATATTCACATGCATGCAGAGAAGGGGTTCCCTGCAGAGGATTCCTTTGCTGGAGCTCTTCTGCCTCCTTGGACCCACCCACCTTTCATGTGCAAGCGAACAGGCTCTATGTCAGGTACGCCGGGGTTCAAATCTCTGCCCTGCTGTCTTCTATGTGTTTTTTTGCCCAGGGTTGCTTAAGCCTCAGTTTCCTGGTCTTTAAAATGGGAATAATGACTAGGCTGTTGCATGCAAATCACACATTATTATGGGGGACTAGAACTCCTTCCTGAGCTCTCATGTAGAAGTTCTTCCCATGCCAGGGCCAGGGGCAGGTGAGAGGGAGAGAGACTTCCACTGAAAAAGGCATGGCCAGAGAATAAACAGAGAGTACTGCTCCCTCCTTGACACAGTGATCACAGAGTCACAGTCCCCACGGGAGGGGCCTTCACCTGGGGACTCATGAGATTTATTCTGTTCTGCTTTAGTCACTGAGGCTCCTGGCCTGAACTTCACCAATTCATCAGGTGACTCCTTTTTACCAAAGCAGCCCCCTCTTTTTCTGTGACCCCAAGACACCAACAAAGCAGCTACCATCTCCTATGTCCATCCTGGGGTACAGGGGCTCATCTGACTCCAGCCCAGATTCCAGGCTGCTTGGGTGGATTCCAGAGACAGAGTTCAGTTGACACTGGTCATTGGCAGGCTCTGAATCCAGGAACCCTCAAAAGAGGACACTCCTATACGATCAAAGTGGACACTGTCTCCCCTGGGCCCTGCATTTCCTTTTTCCTTATTTGTCTGGAGGGGCCGGGAGTGGGTGGGTTGTAAGCTCCAGTGGCCTGGATGACTGACTCATTTCCCCGTTGGAGTCAAGAGCAGCAGCTGGTGTGAGCCACTGAATGCCTCTGGAAGCAGAACGTTAAGTGGAGCCACCTCTACACAGCAAAACAAAAGGAAATGTCACTGAGTACCCAGTGTGTAAGCTCTGTGGGGAGAAAAGAGCCAGGCGAGAGGGAAAGAAGAGCCACATTGCCATTTTATCCATTTATTATATACAATATTAAGGCACAAGTTTAAGCAGCAAAGAATAGGAAAATCTTTGGCTGACCATCAGTATCAATATTTGCTGTGGGGGACACGCCGTGTTCTTGGACTCCCCTGACTCTGCACACAGACCCATCTGGCCGTACAGCTCTGTACACCACCCCTCAGTGCCAAGATGCCAAAATGTTACACCTGGATGCCAGAGTCTGCTGGGAAGAACACAGCCCACTGCCACCAAGCTCGACGATGCACACACACAGAGCAGACAGGAGGAGCAGTGGTGCCAGGGCTGCCATAGTTCTGGCTGAAATCGTGTGCCCACGCTCGCCCGTTCACAGAATTTCACACAGATCCTGTTAAGTGCCTCGTTGAGGAGGAGGCTCCACTGTCCCTCCTCAAAAGGGAAAAACACCTTGATTCGAAATAAACCCAACTGTGGATATATTTGCTTACATTCTGTTTGGTAATAAATACTTACAGATGTCTATATGTGAACAGAATTCTAGGCAAAATCACATGTAAACACAACACTGGGCGTCAAAACTTTGGGAGCCGATACAAGAAGATGCTATATATATATATTGTTATATAGAGAGCAGTATTTTAATTCTGTGAAGAAGCAAAGCTTCATGACAAAAAAACACCTCAGTCACAGAATAACATGACAATAACATGCACAGAATAATATGACAATAACAGCTCTACAGAATACCTACCAGATGTTGATACTAATGAATACGCACTGATGTCTGTAGTGTATGTAGAGATGTGAACACACAGGAGGCATGGCAAGAAAACAGATTTTGAAAAACGAATCCACTAGAAGTTACACGTACTAATGAGCACAGTCCTCCCTTGAAATGGTCACTTTGAGAGGCTTCAGATTGAAGGCTCATTCCAAAAACCTTCTTAAGGATTTTTTTTTTTTAAGAAACAAAAATGGTGTGACTTACCTTAATCACCACTGGTCACTTTGAGAGGCTTCAGATTGAAGGCTCATTCCAAAAACCTTCTTAAGGATTTTTTTATTTTAAGAAACAAAAATGGTGTGACTTACCTTAATCACCATCTTTATTCATCCAACTGTGTTATACATGACTTGGGATTATTTCTAAAACTTAAATCCGTCCTCAAAGGATGAAGATTTCTCATCTCTAGGGGGAATCAAAGGAACGTGTTGGGCACCAAAGGCCATTCTAGCAGAGGAGTTCGCAGAATGATTTTACTTGGGCAGCACTGCAGTAATCAGTACAGTCTCCCAAAGGGACACCTTTTAAGGAAGGTGAAGTGAGATGAAATACTTGGATCTTCTGGATATTAGGAAAAGAAATTACACACACACCCTATACTCACACCTCATATGCATGCACTTACACATACACTTGTCTGCAGCTACCATTAAATTACTAACTGAGAAAAAGGTATACTACTTAAAAGGAAGAGAAGGAAATTGCTCATTAGTTCCAGAAGAAATTCATTTACTGAAATGCTGACCTTTGCATGTTCCCAGCTGACCAGCTTCTAGTATCTTCTTAATTACTCTGCCCATCTCCTGTGGAGCCATACGCCAGACACAAACCAATTAAACAACCCTCACATTGAATGAAAACATTTTAAATGTGTTGATTAATTAGAAAAAAAGGAAGGAAGGAAGGAAGGAAGGAAGGAAGGAAGGAAGGAAGGAAGGAAGGAAGGAAGGAAGGAAGGAAGGAAGGAAGGAAAACCAATATCTATAAAGCATATACCATGGCTGCCTTAGGTTTGAGGATGTGGAGAAGCTAACAGTAAACTGGATACTCTCTGGCTACTTAAAGCCTTTAGCTTTTAAAGACATTCGTGGGATCCCACTTCCTGTGGCCATGGTAGCCCTTTGCTTAAGACTAGTGCAAGATCATTCAGAGAACACAGAGAAACACGCTCCACTTGCTCCATTGTGGACATGAGGCAAGACTTTGGTTTTGGAAAACACATCACTTTGCTCAGCATAGCTCCCTGCCATGTAGGTGTGAGCTCCCTGCCTTGAAACCTTTTAAAGCCCCAATCTATTCTTCACTGCCTCCTAGGACCCTGGCCTCACCTGAGACTCTGGGACTCAGAAGGCTGCTGGGGAGGGAGAATTTCTCATTCCATCAGAACTTGGCATCAGGGTGGCTCAGCCACTGCATCGTGAGAATGCAGGTGGCTGAGGGCAACCCAGCTGAGAACAAACAGGAGTAATGACCGGCTTCTCTGCAGGCACATCCTGAGCAACAGAACCACTGAATTATCCGTTCCAAGTTCCAAGCCTTGTATAGCCAAACTCATACAGAATTACAAAGAGCAACCCCTGCAGGACTGAAATGAGAAGAGCTTCACCCCTCTCTGCCCTGCAACCCAAGCCTGGGAGGGCTGAGACAGCCTGCCCTGCATGCACAGTTGGAATGTGCTGAACCCAGCGCTGCCACTGGCTACCTACCAGCCTCTGGGAAACAGTAGAAACATTAAGAGAAGAAAATGCTAAGAAATGCTCTGAAGTTTTTGGAAAATAATGTGTTTCTGCCAGCAACTTAGCCACATGAACCTGCAGATGGTAATAGTTCTTATGTACAGAACCATCTACTTTGTGAATCTTTCATGTCAGAGACCTGACTCCAACAACTTCTCATATCCCACATAATAGCCTGGCTGCACGCAGAAACTGCCAGACAACGCATCCGAGGATGAAGCACAATCACTCAGCACACCTTCACACAAAGCCAAAGCCCTCATCCTTCATCCTGAGACAGGACCCTCAAGTTCTATAATCAGATGCCACTGGGAAGTTTTGAAGAAGTCCAGGCCTCTGGATAATGCGGAAGTAGTTTTCAGAAATATTTTGCTGCTGCACTTGTAACGGAACACAAAGATTTCCATCTATGCTGATGCTGATGGGCTGTTCTAGGAGATGTGGGTTTAGTCCTATTTCTTAGGTCCTGAAAGATGTGGCAGCCATGTGCATGTGTGTGTGCATGTGTGCACATATATCACAAATAGGGGGACAGAAAGGGCCACATGTGACACCACATGTCAGAGGCGGTAGCCCCTGTGGTTCAGGCACAGCTCCTCTTGTACACACTTGTTTTAAATCCTAGCTGCTTCTGGCTGTGAGGCTTTCGGAGGGGACTTCACCTTCCTGAGCCCCAGTTTCCTCATCTGTGAAATCAGGATAATACACTCGCCCCTGCACCCCAAGTGGTTTCAGGTCTAATGAAAAAGCACTTTCATATGGTCAGCACTAAAAAATGTAGCTAGCATTATTTTTCTGAAAACCAAATGAGATAAGATATTGTAAACTGCCCAGAACGCAGGGTGCTCAGTATAAGCAGTCCCATTTTCCTTTAAGCTAGCCTTCCAGAAAGCTCTAGCAATGACCGTGAAATCCCCAGAAAAGATGTCTTAAAGCTATAGATCCTCTTTCTCAAGGAAGAGTCTTCATATAGTTCGGGGAAAGTAAGATTGACAAAGGCCACAGCACAACCGTAGTTGAGGCCCTGAGAAATGGTGATGTCTCCATTTGTATTCTGACCATTAAAACACCTGGCATTTGGGGGACCGAGTGTGCCAGTGAGGTGACTGGAGCAAGAAGCCCAGGCTTCAGGAGAAGCTGGCTATGGTGCTGCCTGAGAAATGGTGATGTCTCCATTTGTATTCTGACCATTAAAACACCTGGCATTTGGGGGATCGAGTGTGCCAGTGAGGTGACTGGAGCAAGAAGCCGAGGCTTCAGGAGAAGCTGGCTATGGTGCTGGCCTTCACCCATGTCTAGGGAGACAGCCTGAGTTTTGGGGTGGCCCAGACATGGCAGTGGGGCTGGCAAGGTTGACTTACCTCCCTACCTCCAGACCCATTCCTTTCTGGTCCATCCCCAACATAAATTAGGTCAAAATGTCCTTAAGGGAGTTAGCTGCCATCACAGGCACCTCAGTCCCCACTCCGCACCCACATCCATGCTCAGGCTTTTCCCCCATGGGTAAGGCCTCCTGCACTCTCTTGCCACACCCCAGGGCACGGGGCAAGCTCAGTGCTCAGCCCCTTGGAGTCGCCTGAGTTTCCCAGTCTGCAAAATACTTACTTAGACGTTTGATGTGAGACTATAGGAGGTAACAAGCAGGCAGCACAAAGCTCAGTCAGTGCCCACTGCGGAGCAGAGCTTGAGAGGGCCATGCCCACCTACCCTGTCATATGTGGGGCTCAGAGGCCTGTCGGGCCAATGCCACTGATTTCCTCCCTCCCCTGCCCAGCCTACACCTCTTGCCTCCGTCTAACCCCTTAATTTGGGGAGGCTGTAACATCAGCCAGGTCACATTCCAAAGACCCGTCCTAAAGTAAGCTACCCGGGCAAAGCTTCCCAAGTAGTGTTGTCTTTAGTGCTTTACTTAGGAGGTACCTGAAAAAGTCTCAGACCTAGGGCTTTTTTCTTTTTCCTTTCCCCTAAGTAAGCATGAGGAAAGAGACCTGGGAAAACATGAACCAAGCCGACCTGGAGAGAGAGAAATATCAAAATACCACAAGAGCATCCCACACCTCCTAGATGTGTAAAGGAAGCCAATGTCTGAGGATTCGTATGTGAAACACTGAAACGTCACAGCAAAGGTGCAAGACATCCCCTAACTTACTCACTCCTGGCTCTTCTCCAGGGTATTTCTGCCTCACTTTGGATAAGCTGCCCCAAAATGGAAACCTGGAAAAACCTGACCACACTGTACATATACTGGCCTGTTAGGTTACAGAGCAGCTCATGGCAGAAAAAACTGGTGTCTGGTAAGTCTGCAAGGTCACCATTAGCAACCAGAGAGGCGAGGGGTGGAAGTGGTGAATACAAGTGTACTTCAAAAAGTTCGTGGAAAAACGGATTTGAAAGATAATACGAGTATTTCCATGAACTTCTTGAAGTGAGCCACAAACACAAGCCAGTGGTACGGGGGTGCCTATGAGATTCTAGATGCCACCAAGACAGCTGCCTGTACACTGTGATCCATTTCCTGGAGTGTTGTCCTGAAAGCCTTACCCCCACAGAGCAACGGGGTAGAAACAGAGCTGATGTGAGAGAGAAAAAAGCAAGGCCCCATAGTCCTAATGCAAGATGTCACACGGACCCGTGTAATCTTCTGCTCCTCGGAGCTTACCTAGTTCACAGCAGGAATGACGGTAACAGCGGCAGCCCAACTACACAAAGGCAGAGGACAGGAAGACAGCATGTGTCTTTGTCCTCTAGTCACTATTAAACACAGCAGGAATAATGACAGTTCAGACACATATTAAGGCATGTTGAGTAACCAGGTCAGTATGTGTGTATGTTGGCAGTAGGTACACAGAGGTGTCAACTTACTAGATTTGCATTTTAGGCAAAGCACTATGCAGAGTGGATGAGAGGCTATAGGACTGCAGGTGGGGATGAGAGTGGGAGGCTGGTATCAAAATCTAGACAGGAGGAAGGTGGTCTGAACTAAAGTAGCAACTGTGGTGATGAGTACACACAGTCAGTGTTGAAGGTGTCCAATAACACAGTCACATGTTAACAACTGACGAGATCCCTCTATGGAGGCTGGCCTCATGCTATCGATGGGGCTGCTGAGATCTAGAACACATGTATTACTAGAGATGCATTTCTGAAGATAGTGATACTCAAATATCAGTCGATTAGGTCTGATTTGTGACCCCAAAATGGAAACAAGTGGTAAGTTAGGGTGGTTGGGATTTGGGAGATACTACAGGCATTGAGCCAACATCACACTCCCTCAGATGCTGTAGCTTTAAAACAGTCTCGAAGTTACACAAAATTAGCTCTTTGAGTTTGTTTTTCATTTTCAAAGTTGTTTTGATGATTTTAAAGCCTTTGTGTTTTCCATGGATTTTAAAATGAATTTGTCAATTAAAAAAAAATACTGCTATGAGTTTGATCGTGATTGCATGATGGCAAATAGTAAGGTTTTCCAGGCATGCAAAGATTAAGAAAATTTGTCTTTTCGTATAACTTCGTATAATGTATGCTATACGAAGTTATTACGTGTTATTCTTGTAATAATAAGGAACACCCAGCACAGCCTAAGAGCTTTTGGATCACCATGATCATTAAAAAACCCCATAAAGGGCCGGCCCAGTGGCACACTGGATAAGTGCGCCGCTTGGGAAGCGGCGGCGCTCCCGCCTGAGGGTTCGGATCCCACATACAGACCGGTTCCCGCTCACTGGCTGAGCGAGGCGCGGGAGCAACACCGAGGGTTGCGATCCCGTTGCCGGTCCGGTACGGGGGCAACACTGAGGGTTGCGATCCAACCCGTTGCCGGACACGGAAAAAGACAAAAGACAAAAAAAAAAAAACCCATAAAGTGAGAGTGGACAGGTGCTCCTGCTCCCTCTCAGCTCAACAAGACTCCCTCTCTTGGGCCAGGCAGTCCCATGTTTTGTAGGCATGTAAAGGAGGGCCACATACCCAGCTTCTCCGCAGTCCCCTTGGCCCCGGGGTGCTTCAGGACGGGGCTGTTGGAAGGCGTCGCGCTCAGCCTGCTGCGGTTGGGGAGGGAGGCCACGTTGGGCCAGAAGAGTTCAGCACTCTTGTCCGTCTGGGTGCTGCTGTCCTTGCTGCCCATCTTAGCGTGGGCGCTGCTGGCCGATGTGGCGGAGGCTGTAGGTGACAGTGTGGAGGCAGGTGGGGATGGCAGCAGGGGGGCAGAAGCGTGTTCGTGGTGCTCCTTCCCCAGCAGCAACCCTGAGGGCAGAAGAACAGCTTTTTCACTGACATTCTTTTTTTCTTTTATTTGATTTAAGAAAAAACAAAACAAAACTAATCTTGGGGATCACTTCCTTCTTGACTGAGGATTACTTCATTCATTGATCCATCACCAAGTGTCTAACAGGCATTTATTATGCACCTGATAAAATGACAAACACTGAGAGAATTTTAAAAAATGAAAGACCTAGATCTCCTGCTAAAAAAATTTAGTTTTCTTTTTTTGGCAGGGGAAGGAGTTGTCGAGTAAACTGGCTATAATATAGTATGATAAACTGTAGGATAACATTATTCACAGGGTGGTACAGAAGAAGAGAGAAGAGTCTACTAGCCAGAGTACCAGGGGTGGGGAGGTTCCCACAAGGCTTTCTAAAGACCATGCCTGCTTTACCTAACATGGCCCAGAAGGGCCGGCTGAAGCAGTGGTTGTGTGCTTAAGAAAAACTGAAAGGCCTCCCTGGTCCTAGTTCCCACTGGCCGGATGCTTGTGACTAGTCCACAATTCCACCCCATTCGTGGTAATGGATCGATAGTCTCCGGCAAGGCAAGTTCCAAAACAAACATGCTCCCTGTTCAGAGCAACCATTGAGTTATACCAAAAGAAATCTCTGCAGTCGACAGCTAGGTCCCAGGAAGCAGGAAGCCAGCTGGGCTCCCAGGGAGGAGCCTTCACCCTGCCCCAAGAGTGATGGGTCTAGGATGGGGAAGAGGGCACACTGGCTACGGAAAAGGGAGGCCTGGTGTGCAGAGGTGTCAATTTCCTCAAAGCCTTCCTGCAAGGCTGGACAGAAGAGAAACCTTTTCATTTTTAAATATGGCACACATTCAGAAAAGTGCCAGCACTCCAGAACACTAGCCTATAGAAAATGTTGTAGGAACAATCAAGTATTTATTCACTTATCTTGTCAACTAGCCAGCAATTCATAAAGTATATTGCCAGGGCTGTTTCAAGGTGCCCATTCATAACTCAGGGCAATTCAGTTTGTCTACAGCAGTCCTTCTCAAAATGCAGTGTGCATATCAAGTACTATACTGTTCAAATGAGGATTCGATCTGGTGGGTGGGGCCTGAGATTCCACCCTCTAACCAACTCCAGGTGATGCCAGCGCTGCTGGTCCACGGACCACACTCTGAGTAGCAAACATCTTTGCCAAAGTGCTTCACCCATTATCTCACTTTATATTTCAACATTCCTGTGAGGTAGGTCTCTTCTTCTGTCTTACAGAGAAGAAAATGGAAGCTCAGAGAAATGAACATCTCACAGCTAAGAAGTAGCAGAAATGAGATTCAAACCCAGCTGTGCCCAACTTGGAGCCCAACCTGTGTTCTTTCTACCTGGTCACCTGCCTGCTGAAACTCCAGAGTCTGATGGGATGCTCTGTGTGTGTGGAGGGGGGTGGCCGGTTGAATCAGCTACTAGCCAGCCATCTCCTTTGAAAACCTCTGGGAAATGAGGAAGGCATGTGCTGTCCCCTCAACCTCCTTCCAGAGCCCGTCAGGCAAGACAATGGAAGCATGTGGGAGCTGTGCAGTGTCCCGTGAATGTGTGCCTCTGCCTGGCCCCTCGGCCCCTCCCTGCGTTTGTGACTTATGGACACCAGTGACAAAATGAGAAATACCAGTGCAGAGACCACAGCAACTCTCCCTTCAGACTAAGGTCCTCAGGCTCCCGGGCTAAATATTGAGGGATGCAGGCACAGACACCAAAGAGACACCAGCCCAGCTGGATGCCACCAATGGGCTTCTCCCAGGGAGGTTTCCATCAGAGCTGAGCAGATTTCGAACTCCTCAGCCAGCCAGTCTGAGCACCGCCTCACTGCTCTCCAACTGGGCTGGGAGCTAATGTCCCTGCGATGGTCTTTGATGACCCCAGCTGTTGTCCACACACATCTCTTTGAAGTGCATTTCCTCTGAGGGCAGGGGCTGTGGAAGCCACCAGTGGAAGGACTTCAAACAGAGATTCTGGCTGCGAGCTTTGATCCCCCAGCTCTGTCGGGTTCATATGGAAGTTCTTATCCCCTCTGGCACAGAGCAGACAGGCTCCTCTGGGGTCCTGTGCTGAGGAAAACTGGCTCTGGACTCCACAGAGAAACAAAAACACACGATGACCCAGGGAAATGCATCAAAGAAGGGGCAGAGCTCTGGAGTTGCCAGAGTGCAGGGAAAGGGAGCAGAGGACATGTGTGTGCGTGTACATGTGCACACGTGTGTGTGTGCGTGTGTGGATGTATACACGTGTGCACATGTGGATGTGAATGCTGCCTGCTTCCTCTCCAAGCTCGGCCGGTCTGACCAGTCAACGAGCCAACGAAGAAACCCACTCCTGGCTGAGACCACACTTGTGACAACTTCCTCAAAATTCTGCCTATGCAACAACACAGCAACCACCACCACCAACCCCTCGTGCTGGAGAGCACTTCTTCCAACGCGCCTTCTCCACATCATCTCATCTGGCCCTCCCGTGGCCCCGTGGGGCAAAGCAGGGTGCACACTGTCTCCTTTCCTAGACATGGAAGTAGGAGGAGCCGCCACATAAGTGGTGTGGGGCAGAGCTCAGTTCAGAGGCCTGATGTCGCTAGGCTTTTCCATTAGAACATCCTGTGTCTTAAGGGTCACCTCAACTCTCAACAATAATAGATAATAATTATAATATGAGTCAGCCCATGGTTAACAACTACTCCAGTCACTACTAGCCTTCAGAATTTATACAGTACTTCCACATATCTCATTTATTTTCCACAAACAAAATCTGATTGACTTTCCTCCCCATTTCACAGATGAGTAAACTGAGACTAGCAGATATTCAGTGACATTTCCGTGTCCTCTGAGTGGCAGGGAGGTTGCCTCTCAGAGTTTGTGTGGCCTTGCATTTTGGATCCCAGTCTGAAGGAGATACGGGGCTCACCTATGCTCCCCTTCCAGGCCTTCTCTTCCTTCTTCTCTTCCACCAGCTGGCTGCTGGTGAGGGAGGTCTGGCGGGAGTGTGTCCCGGTGGCTGCTGCAATGGACGGGACCGAGCGGGCGGGCCGCAGGCTCGAGGCATCCGTCTTCCCGGCATCTTTACGGGATCGCTGCTGAAGGACCTTAATCATGGCATCCTTCTCTATGATTTTGGCATGGAGATTTTTAATACTGTAAACCAAAACAAAACAGTCTTAATAAAAAGGCATTTGGTTAGAAAATACATTGAGCTAGAAAAACTTGAGCCATTTTTCTCAGACTGTCCCAGGGACTTAAGCTGCAACTCAGAGAGGGAAGGTTAAGTGCAGTACACGTCTTCAAACATTTATAATCCCCAAATTGAATGAGACAGATCTTTGTAGATCAAAGGGGTGCACCTTCTCTGGCACCTCAGAAGACTCTGGGACTTCTGGAGGGACAGTCAGAATGACTGTAGCCATACACTAGGGACTACTGAGACTTAGTGGGCTCAGGGACCACACTCAGAGGATCTAGCATTGGGGGGGTTCAGGGCCAGAAGGGGTCATAGGGAAACCCAGAAACTCTGAAGCCTCAAACAGGGTGAACTTTCAACTAAGGTTAATTTCTCTATTTTCTTTTTTAAAAATTAATCAATCAATGAAATTGATTGATTAAAAAATTTACTCATTACATTTTTAGATTTATTTAATTAATTTTAATTGACATAATAATTGTATATATTTTGGGGGTATACTGTGGTGTTTCAATACATGTACACAATGTAAAATAGTCAAATCAAGGTAACTGGCATATCCATTGCTTCAGACATTTATCATTCCTTAATGGTGCATTTCTCTATTTTCTAAGAAAAAAAGATGAAAAAACGGACAGGATCTCTAGAAGATAATTCTCCCCTCGAAGGCCAAAAAATGAGAACCAATAAACACCTGAGTTCTTTTTGCAACTCTGATAGTAACCCACTGAGCCTTTCCGTTACTTGACCACTCCCCCCTATGTTGACTTCTGTGACATGAGAAGCTCAGGGCTCCCAGGGCTCCCCAGGCCCTCAGGCAGTCAAGGGGCACAGGCTAGTTTTACCATGTCAAATAGCCTGCTGGAAATCTTGTGCAGCCCATCAGAAGAGAGCATGAGGTAAATAAGTTATTTTTTGAGAACTGGAATATATAGACTCTGGCTAAAAAACTCTGAACCTTTAGAATATGATCTGTTTCTCCTTTCCAGTTCATAATGTCTGGAAGGTTGTACAGACAGACATCCAGAAGTAACATGGGCATCTCAATTCTTTTTTTTTTTTTTTTTTTTTTTTAAAAGATGACCGGTAAGGGGATCCTAACCCTTGACTTGGTGTTGTCAGCATCACACTCTCCCAAGTGAGCCATGGGCCAGCCCTGGGCATCTCAATTCTTCAGTCATTACACTCAGCCTCATCTTAAAACCTGCAATAGACATGCAATAATCCTGCAGAGACCTCTGGCACCAGTCCCCACTCCCCAGTGCTGCTGCTGAGTGGAACCACGTGCTTAGGTTTGAAACTTTCCTTCTCTCCAGGGCAGAGCAGGGGTTGGGGTGTTTTTGGAGACCTCAGTTCTGCAGCCATGCAGAGCAGAGCAGAAGAGAAGCCTCTGTACCAGGGCTGGAGTGGGAGTGCAAGCTGGGGGTCTGAAGGGGAGCGTCCGCACACGGTTGTGCCTTACGTGTACTCCATGTCCTGACACCTCCTGTTGGCCTGCACCACCTCCTCCTCCTCCTGCCAGATATGGGCCTCCAGCGAGCTCTCGCCATAGCTGCCGTTCCGAGAATGGTTGATGATGTTGGTGTCCCTGGCAACACAGGACACGCATGTGATCACAGGAAGCCTTCTTGCTTTGTTTCAACACAAACAGATGCAGAATGGAGAGGCCGGTGTCCAAGCTGGAACAGGAGTCTGCTCTTCACCTCCTACTGGCTCTTAAAAGCCTTCCCTCTCTACTACCCCAGCCCAGTTACCAATCTCCTCAAACGCTGACATATGGAGAATGGTGCAAATGCTCGGGGAGAGGCAACCGAAGGGCACTGTGTTAGTCAGTTTCTGTCGCTTACAACAAAATACCTGAAACGGGGTGATTTATAAGAAATGAAGTTTATATGAAGTTTGTTGCTTTCAGTTTCTGAGGCTGGGAAGTCCAAAGTCCAGGGGATACATCTGGTGAGAGCATTGATGGCAGCCAGAGTGACAGCAGAGTATCACGTGAAAACGGTGGAGCAGAGAGCAGACGCTAACCTCCTCATTCACTCCCCCTTTAAAGCCCTCAGAACCACGCCCCTGACCACCATTATTAATCCATTCACTAGTGCACGGTCCTAGAATCTACTCACCTCTTAAAGGCCCCACCTTTCAATTACCACAATAGGATTTCCCACCCTCAACAGTTAAAGTGGGGATTAAGCCTCAATGAGACTGGGGGGCGGGCATCCAATCTACAGCAGGCTCCATGCTAAAATAATCCCTCCAGGCTCCCAGTTAGGATGGCACAATAGATGGTCCCCAGCATCACTCTCTCCCACGAATCCACCAATTTACAACTATTAAAAAGCAATGACAGCCAAGCTGGGGCCAGTAGGGATCAGGGGAAGAGGAGGAGAGACCTATGGAGCGCATGAAGGTGGGAGAAGCCACGATGAGAGAAAGAAAGAACCACCCTGACCATTTCGAGTTCTGGCCACTTCCAGTCCGGCCCTGGTGAGCGCACAGAGTGGAAGCTGGCAAAAGCCACAGCTGTGCCCTACAGATGAAGTTGCTTGGAGATGGCAGGGGAGAAGAGGGCCTTGGTGGCCCCCAGGCCAGCAAGACCATTAATAGGATTCCCATGGGTCCACATAGGAGTGAGGAGCCAGAACAACTGAAAAAAAGGAGCCACTCAGAGGCTGGCACATGGCCCATCCCATGGGAAGTGTGTGGAGTGGTGGCGTGGGGGAGGGGGGGAGATGGGCCCATCAGGAGAACACCGGGGCACAGCAAAGACAGCTGATCTGCCCTCAAATCAGCGCAGGAGCACTCAATGGAGACTGGTCAGGAATATAGAATAGCATGAGGTACAGTTTGCTGAAAAGAATCAGGCCCAGACCAGAGTTTCCACACAATCCAGGTGTACCAGGTGTACCAGATCTCATGAGACCCAGAAATACCTATAAAGTCAACCATTAAAACCTGAGCGGTACAAAAATCCTTCCCTAGGGAATCAGCAGCAAAGCAACAGAAGTCAACCATTAAAACCTGAGCTGCACAAAAATCCTTCCCTAGGGAATCAGCAGCAAAGCAACAATTTAGCTCAACCACAGAGCTTAAGTGCTGGTCCCCACAGGAAGTTCCCCATTTTAGAAGTAAGCAAAGGACAACAAATTAGTTCCAGTGCAGAATTTAAGTGGTGGGAACAGCAAATAATTTAACACAGAACTGGAAGAAAAAACAAAATACCCACAAACCTGAGACAAAGTTTCATATTAACTAGTAAAGGTCTCACATCACCAAAGATCACCTATAAAACCTAGAAGGACCAGAAGTCCCCTGGGCTACCAAGCCAGGGAGTGGAGAGGACTGGGGACCCAGCCATACCCCCTGACACCCACAACCAGCTCAGTGACAACCACCAAGCTGCCACAAGAAGCACCCTGGGCTTCCAAGCTGGGGCCGTGGGGGGTGAGGGCTTCAGCCACAACTCTCTGACATCTGCACCCAGCCCAGCAAAGACCAAGCCACCACTGGAAGTCCTCTGGTCTCCCCTGCAAGAATGAGGGGGTGCCACAGGCCTCAACCCTGTCCCTCCTCCTCCCTCCTTCTCCCACCCTATTTCCTTCCCCCTTCCCCTTTGCCCCTACAGCCTAACTGCTATGCAACATCATAGAATGTAAAAAAATAATATTAATAAAAAAGTAAACTTAAAAAATAAAACAATCTCTCCGCAAACTCCTTCATCCACCTTCCCTCTGAAAACCTGCCAATTCTCTTCCTAAACTTGTTAGAATTAAGACAAAATAAAATTCAAACATCAAAATTCCCCACCCCTTCTACTAACAACACTGTGTATTAAGCTATGGTGGCATGTTATGAATACTCTGCAGATCAGGCACCTACACATTTAATCCACTGACATATGGACACTATTACTATTATTAAATTTGTTGGTGTTTCTATGCTTCTACTTTTTCATACTTGTCCTATCTCACTTTTCCAAACAGAGCTAAAATTTTATTTCTATTTACCACACAATATAGAACCTATTTCAGTATTTTACAGTAAAATGAAGGCTCAGTAAATACTCGAAACTGAGATTGGTCCTCTTGGACAGTGAAGCTGCGAGCTGGAGTCTTCCTTCACATCTGTATTCTGTCTCACTTCTTATTTTGGACACCTACCTAGGATACCGGTCATTTCAGTGTAACAAACGTGCTGGGTACTAGGGCAGAAAGCTGAAGAAGACAGACACTCTGTCCTTGAAAAGTTCAGTTGAGGTGGTTGGACTGAGGGTAGGGACAGACACAGGCAGATTAAAAAGCAGTTTAGCTGAAAGCAGGTGTCTGAAAACAATGGTCAAAGATAACAACTCCTGCTACAGGTTTTGTCAATTTTTTTTTTTTTTTTGTCTTTTGTCTTTTTTTTCCGTGTCCGGCAACGGATCGCAACCCTCAGTGTTGCCCCCGTACCGGACCGGGGACCGGCAACGGGATTGCAAACCTCGGTGTTGCCCCCACACCTCGCTCAGCCAGTGAGCGGGAACCGGTCTGTACGTGGGATCCGAACCCTCGGGTGGGAGCGCCGCCGCGCTTCCCAAGCAGTGCACTATCCAGTGCGCCACCAGGCCGGCCCAGGTTTTGTCAATTTAATTACTCCCAAATTAACAGTGATTAGTAAAAATAAGACAACTGTACCATCTAAGTGATATATCTTAAGATGAAAGGCACAATAATGCCTCTGACTATATGAATACAAAATTAATAAGAAATGATCTAGCCAAATACTTCACACCTCTTTAACTTCATATTCCAATGCTTCAATCATACTGAAAAACCTTAAAGCTCTTTTCTAGAACACCCAAAAAAACAACAAAAAGAGGCCCTTCTTCTGTCCCTTTTAAAGAGAGTTATCAGTTAATGAGCATTTATTTCATGCGGGGACTGGGTAGAGCAGGGTACACATGGCCTCTCATTTATTCTCATAACTTGTGCATAGGTATTATTGCCCACAGTTTACAGATGAAGACACTGGGGTTATGTGACTTTTCCATGAATACACAGTTAGCAAATGATGGAAATGGATTCAAACACAGATATGGATGACTGTGAAGTCCATGCCCTTAACCATTGCTCTGAACTCTTGGAAGTTGCATTTGTTTTTAGGAAGAAGGAAGACCTCAGCAAAGATGCATAAAGATAAAATAAATGAACGAGAGGGCACACATGAGAACATGGCTCAAAAAAGTGCAAACTCAGAAAGACAAATATCACAGAATCTCACTTATATGTGGAATCTAAAAAAAAAAAAGTAGTTCTCATGAACTAATGAGTAGAAAAGAGTGGTTACCAGAGGCCAGGAGGGGAGGGGGTGATGGGGAGGAGAAGTGGTAGACTAAAGTGAACACAACTATGCTATCTACCATAAGTGAATTATTGTGCAATATATGCACATATTGAAATGACACAGTGTAGCCCACAAATATGCACAAATAAATATTAAAATTTAAAAAAATTAAAAAAAATTTTTTTAATGCAAACTGTAGCTGGAAATACAAAGCCAAATAATGTAGAAAGCAAACAAAACACTTTAAACATACTTATAAAATTATAAATTCGCCCTAGGGTGCACAAAACTCATCAATATAGGAATCAGTGGCTAGAAACACTTTCAACCAGTTTGCTTTTGGAGAATTCATATACAGCTGGAGACTAATTAAAAAATTTATGTTTTTACTGCCAAGTAAGAACAGCAGGCACAATCAGATGAAAACAACTTCGACAGTAAATACACAGAACTCTGAAAAAAAATTACATTGCTTTGAAATTTGTAAAAAGTTTCAAACCTTCCCCACACATAAAAAATAAGTTCGACCCCTAAACATTCTCATCTATGGTGTCAAGATGTGTAAAGATGGCAGAACTAGTTGGTGTACAAAAATTATTTTCTTTGTTTAAAAATCATTGCATGTAAATATGAAGTATGCATCAGAGGCTGAAAAGTCACAAAAGAGCTGGAACTAATCATTTTTACCAATTTATCTGTAGCCATTTAGCATCTAGATAAGAGCTCAGAATTTCAACCTTTCTCAAAATGCTTCATTTTCCTTTTTTACCTTACTATCAACAGAAAAGCAATGCTGAAATCACAGGTTTTCTTTGAAAAGAACATTGAGGCTGGAGCTAAAATATCTGAGATTCTCTGAACCTATCTCCCCACCCTGGGACTGTGAGAAGGGGTAATCTATAAAAGGGATGACAGTTTCCTACAGAATTATTAGATGCTCAATAAACATATGTGGACCCAAAGAAGGGGGAGAAGGGAAGGATGGTGGAAAGGGGCTCCACCCATACCTCTAGGACTCCAGATAGGGCAGAGAAGAACAACAGAACTCCTGTTCTCTGGGGTAAGAGCCATTTCCTCTTGCATGAAGGATGAAGAGCAATGGTGGGCCTAGTATCATGCGAGTGGGTGACTGTGTTTGGGGTCTAACTGGTTCTCCTCTCTTCCACCCACCTCCTGTGCCCACCACAGGGTCCACACCTCAGACCTGTTCATTCTCCCACTTCTGATTTTACATTCCAGTCCCATCCATCTCCTAGGGCCCAGGACCCCCCCAAAACATCTGATCTGATAAATCAAAAGAAGCTGAAACAACAATGACACATGAAGGCCCCGTGTCATCCCTCCAAAGTAACATATTTACAGTGCTATTGGGGCTTTAGTGTGCTCAGACAGAGGACTGTGGTTGGGTTTCCTGCTCTTAACCAGTTGAGAATTACCATTTCCATTTCACCAATGAGTTAAGCGACACTTAGAGGGGTTGTCCCGGATGACACACCCACACTCAGTGACAGAGGGAGGAGCCTTGAATGCAGGTATCCTGCCTCCCTGTGCAGTGTTCTTTCCATTACAATCACACAAAGAGGAAACCCCAGGGCAATCACGGACAGCTGACACATCAGACCAGATCTGACAAAGATGGCCAAAGCCCCTGCGACTTTATGTCAGTCTGTTGTCTTTGTCAGGGTGAAGAGGTCATTTAACTGTTAGCTTAGAAAACAAAGCAGAAAATAAAAACATCTCAATTATGTAAAAATCAACAAATGATTCAAGGGGCTTCTCTGTTCCCACCACACAGTGCAGGGACGGAATGGGAGGCTGCCCCTTCCCTTCACCTCTCTCCCCAGGACTTTGGAGCTTCGCCTTACCACATCCGTCTCAATGTCTATTCCCATTCCCGCAGTCTCACTTAGATGGACACTGTGGGCTGTTTCCCCTCATGGCATAGACACGCATAACACGTGAGTGCTGGAAAATGATTCCAAAATGATCATTTTCTGGACGAGTCTGCAGGTCTTCCTAGTGCAAGAGTGCTGTGGCGCCCAACAGAGGCTTCTATGCCTGCACGGTGGCCCTGCTCTCCGCAGTTCCTGGCACTGACATCTGGGCATGCTGCTGGGGATTCTTCTCTACTTGAGTAGAGAAGAACCTGAGAGCCCATAAATAGCTCCTAAATTATCCCCCCTCAGTCCCAGCAGGCCTTCTCGCACTCAAGGCGGCAATGTGGAACTGCCTGCGTCCTTGACTTTTACTCCCCTCTCTTGGTTCACGTCCAACCATCCCAAATGGCACAGCAATAGCCCTTATTTATAGGAAGTCCATTTTTCTGGATGATTCTTTGAAATCTGAGGATTCCTCCAAACATACTGACTCTAAATTCTGGTGAATTCCAAACAACTTTAAATTAAATGCCCAACTCTAAATTATGGGGAAAAAGCAAACCGAGTGGGGGGCAGACAGGAGCTTCTCCAGTCCAACGCACAGCCACGCAAATATTGCAACAATTACGCATGCAGGTGAGATCCAGCAATCAGAGATTGGGGAAACCACCCTGCTCATTCAGACAGCAGAATATTTTCACAGAATATTTGTGAATTATTTTTGTGAAATCTTGTACATTTTGAGCTAATTTTTAAAGAAAGAATAAGGCTGTAGGCCTACAGAAAGAAAGTAAAGCAACAGACGTAAAAACTGACAGCAGAAGAAATCAATTTCAAATGAAGGGAAATCAAATTTTAAGTCAGGTAGTTCTCCATTGACATGTGGTCCCACCGCTTCTGACAAGTGTGATTTGGAATTAATTACTGCACCTCTCTAAGCCTCATTTTCTTTTTTTGTACAATGAGGATAACAATAGTACCTGTCTTCGGGGCTGCTACGAGGATTATATATTCCTCATCTGGCCCATGATACAGATACAGCGTTGAAGAGAGTCATAAAATATGCTTCCACAACATCATTCTTAATGATCACATAGTATTCCACCATGTGGACGTACTTTAAATTGTTAAATGAATCTTCTATTCTTGGACTTCAGGCTATTTTCATGCATTGATATTTTCAATAACACTGGGATGAACATCCTTGGACATAAATTTTCAGGCACTTATATAATGATTTCCTTAAGATAAATTCTAGAACTAGAATTATGGGACCAAAGGGAAGGTACATATGACAACTTATCCTCCAGAAATGTGATACCGCCTTGCTCTCCAACTAGCACTATAGCCTATTTTAGAATTACTTTTGATAATTCTGACCTCACTCCCTGCGTGGGCCTCTGGATGTCTCTGGACACCTGTATTTGTTTCCTTTTTTTTTCAATTGGCCTTGGGTGACCACCAGAGCCCTGCTGGTCTCACCTCTCGGCTGCTGCGCTGGCTGCGGCATTCATGGCGAAGTGGCGGATGGTGCTCTCCTCCAGGTACTTCTGCTCCCACTTGGTCATATCGGCCTCCAGGGCCAGGATCCGCTCCTCCTTCTCCCTCACGAGCTCCAGGAGGGCTGGAGCATTGTATTCCGGCATGCTGGCTGGCTGGCCATTCCCATGTTTCTGGAGAAGTAGAAATAACATGTTGATGTTCAAAATGGGCTGTGTGGTAGACCACATCAACCCTGTCTGCAGTTACCCACAAAGGGCACATGTGTCCCAGATCCTGCAGCAGCTCACACACAGGATCACCACGCCCCCGCTCCCTCTCTCCAACGTGCGCAACCCGGACTCAGTGGATCTGAGCGCCACACCACCCCACCCTCAAATTCCTGTCTCATTTAATTCTCACAGAGCTCTGTAAAACGGACAACATTATCCCAGTTTTATAGTTGAGAAACTAAGCCTCTGAGTGGTAAATTAATGGTTTGATATCCCTCAGCTAATCAGTAGTAAGGTCAGGATTCCAACCTGGGTCTGTGTGGCTCCACAGCTCACGGTCTTTGCATGACAAGAAGGAGCTGGTCCAGTGCCTTGCAGTTAATTTATACCAAAAGTAAGAAAAGGTGTTAAGTCTAGGCCTACTGGTCTAGGGCACTTTCTCCAGAACTCAAGGAAGTGATTCCAGTTGTATGCTTCCCTTGAGGCTGGGAGATAAATGGAAAGGCACAGGAGGTGGGAGGGAAATGCCCTAACACGCATGCTGTCCTAGCTGCAATGCTCTCATCTGGGAAAGGAGGTCCTCATACCTACCCCTCTTACAGGCATGAGAATGAGACTGAAATTAGATAATGTACACAGAAGTGGAAGACTCTAATGTGAGGCAAGCTTGTTTCTTAGCCTTCTCTTTTCATCTGTGTCAGCATGAGGAAATAAAGTGGTGGTTATCTGGACTGCTCACAAGCTAAGGATATTCACATAACAGATTTTTTTCCTTTTAACTCAGGTATACTATTTCCTCCAAAGAGCATGACATAGAGGACAAGGTGGTTTTGAAGAAGTTCTAACTACAGACCAGTGGCGGAGACAGGTCATCTCGGGAAATCGGGGTCAGGGGCCCAGACCGAGCATGAGCCAGGTTGCTGCATAACAGAGGGGAGAATAATTTCATCCCAGTTATTCTATGTCCTGGGATGCACATTCTCCTCATGTTTTCCAGTGACTGGAAAATTTAAATACAGAGCTGGTTGCAAGGTGAGAGGTATCCGAACTCTTCATCCAGATCCACATCATGCCCTAGATTAAGAAAAGGATTGGGGAATTGCCTAGAGCAACAGCTGGGCATTTGAGCTGTACTGATGGAATCTAATCCCACCAGAGAGAAGAGAACAAATGAGCCCATGGGCTTTTTGTAAACCATATGTTTCTATTCAATTTCTTAAAGCTACGAATATAAATTATTCTAGGAAGTAGTAGCTTGCCAGTGACCAACAAGTAAGTAAGAAGAGAGGGGAAGGCACATACCTGTCCCCACCTGACCTGTACAGGAGATCACTGACCCCATCTGGCCAGGCACCCAGACTCAGGCAGGAGGACAAATGAACGAGTCCACCGAGATCAGAAGGCCCCCTATTTTTAGAAACTTTCCAAGAAAAAGCTGCCACAGCCTCACCAAGCTGGCATCTATGCTTGTCAGTTTCTATCTAAATCCCTTCTGTTACCATCTAAGCTAGCTTATTTTTGCAGAATCCTCTTGACCTAAGATGAGATCATGACAACTCTTCATAGACCCCCTCATTCAGGTCCTTAAGAGTTATTTAAATAAATCCATGAATTTCAACATTCAAGCATATAGAGACAGCACAGCCTAATGAATAAGTATGCTAACCAGAAAAATGGATTAAGGGTCAGGCAGGACAGCTTTTGCTGCTATTCAGCTAGTCAACAAATATTTACTGAGCACGTACCATGTACTGAGGATACAACAATGAACAAAAACCTTTGCCATTAACGTGTTCACATGGGAGGAATGTCTTAATTAGCTACACGACTTGGTTGGTCCCCTCACTTTCCTGTGCCTTATTTTCCTCTTCACCTTCTCCCTTCTGCCTTATAGGACTACTGTGGAAGTAACACATGAAAATTACTTTGAACTCTTTGTAAAAAAGATTAAATTGTGAGTTCTTAAACATGTAAGTTCCCCTCCCTTTTTAATCTTTCCCTCTCTTTCTCTTCCTTTGCAGTTTCTAATGATGCTGAGGTACTGCTCACCCCCCACGGTAGAGGAGACATTACTTATAAGAACAGGCTGTTCATTGAGAGCTTCTCTTTCCTACTAGTCCCATTGTCCTGACCTATCTTTCTCCCTTCCCTCTTCGATCAGCCACACTGTCACCCTTTTTTCAATCGGACTGAAAAAGCTGGGGCAAGGGAGGAATTTGGGAGAAGGTATCAAGAATGACCTAAGCCTTCCAATGACTGACGGTAATGGTGGCAGTAAGAACAGCAATAAGAGTGATTCTTTCCTAATCAATTGCTCAGTGCAAGGCACTGTGATACGCACTTGGGGCAGATCCTCTTATTTGTAGTCACAAGTATGAGACAAGGCAAGGAAGCTTTTATTTTATAGATAAGGAAGTTGAGACTCAGAAAGATTACTTACCCAAGGCTACTTTTCTGGCAGGAGGACGCAGGATTCACCCTGGCCGGTCCTAACCCTGGAGCACATACTATGAATCAAACATGATTCCATGCCACTCTGCTCATCCCCAGTGTACCCACCCTTCTGGAAGGGGCCAGGGCACCTCGAAGGAATAGGTGGAGCTCACTCAGGGGCTGTGTTGTTAGACGGGGCCAGGTGGAGAGGCTCAGCTGTGTCCTGGAGTAAGTCTGAGGGCATAGCCCTTGTGTGGGGTGCTGATTCAACAAGCACTGTAAACCACCCTCCCAAAGGTCCCTGTGGAATAATGCCCTAAGGGAAGTGGCAAGGCAGTGTGGTTGGCCCTACTGTTTTGTTGAGGGTGGAGATGACTGGGGCTTTGTTACAGTGTGACCTCAGTATGCTTTCTAAAGGGGTCAGATAAATGCCTCACTGACACAGGGAGTGAAGGACGAGGGTGCGGCATGGACTGCAGAAGCCTCTCCCGAGGCTGCCCACATCTGCGGCAGGCACACGCATGAGCTGCACAAGCGTGCGTGAGCAGGAGATCAGGGAGGCCCCTGGATACCCTTTCCCCAAAAGGCTGAGTTTCCCAGATGACCCTGTGTTCCTGAGGGACTCCGAGTCATCCCTGGTGAGGGTCGGCAGAGCTGCCCTCACACTCATCCACGGGCTCCCAATGTGAATTTAACCAGACTTTAACCTTTACAGTATCTGCCACGTGGAACTAGAGAAAACTCAAGGTTTTTCTGGTGGGTTTTTTCATAATAACATTTTTAACTTTTCTGGTTATAGAAAAATGTATGATCAGTGGTAAAATAAGAAAATAAAGAAGTATTAAAGGAAAAAATAAAGGGCTGGCCCCATGGCACACTCGGGAGAGTGCGGCACTTGGGAGTGCAGCGGCGCTCCCGCCGAGGGTTCAGATCCTATGTAAGGATGGCCGGTGCGCTCACTGGCTGAGCGCGGTGTGGACGACACCAAGCCAAGGGTTGCGATCCCCTTACCGGTCACACACACACAAAAAAAAGACAAAAAAAGGAAAAAATAAAAAACAATACTTATCTTTTTAATGAGTAGGCAAGAGCAACAGAAAAATCTGAGTATATCTTATGTCACAGGAGACAGACTAATATTTTCATTCAAAAGCCTAACTATAATGTTATTTTCAAAGAGATGCTGAGCATCGAGTTCTGTTTAACTCCCCCCTTCAGGCTCACCTCAGCCACGCATAGCTGGGGATCTGCCATCAGCTCCCAAAGACAAACCCGGAATGAAAGCAGAGTCATTTCCCCAGAGAGCTTCGATTCTGAAATGTCCCCCCCGACTGGTGCACCTAAATCTGTCGGCAGCCTTTACGCACGGTTGGAATATTGTTTTTGCTGGTCTGAGGGAATAATGTGGAGGGTGTGCCTGGGTCTGAGGGTGCACACAATGAACTGTCCTCTGTGGCAATTAAGGTATTTTTCAAATAATCCTGACTTTATGTTTCTTCTTCTTGACGTACAACAAGGGTAACAGAGTTTAGTTTCACAGCATTCAAAATAGAAGAGCCAAGGATAAGTAATCTAATTGCAGGGTCTGGATGGCACGTTAACTGGAAAAGAATATTCTTTTTTGCTCTAAGAATTGAGACGTGCCCATTTTGTCAGCCAAAGACTCGTAAGTGTCTACCATGTGCCAGCTCTGTACCCAGTACCAAGGAAGCCCTGCCCTCAAGTTGGGGAGGTTAAGATCTCAATAACCGAGCAACAGAGAACAGGTAAAGGGTGTAACTCAAGTGCAACGGTATGTGGCACATGCTACAAGTATCAGAATTCCAGAGACAGAGCCGCCCTTCCTTATGGGCTATCAGCCAAGCCAAGGTGGTAGGAGGCTGGGGTGGGTTTCTTAACTTTCTGGGCAATCTCACTAATGCCTCTTTCTCCAGCCAACTGCACACACCCAGAGGGAACTGCATGGTCCTGCCATGCGAGAGGGCTGAGCTGCCTGAGTGCACACTTTCAAGTGTTTTGACCACAACCACTATGCCCTATGCAGTCGATAATTCCATGGAGCCCTGCCTTGTGTTTCCCTGGTATCCCAGTTGAGAACACACCCTTCATCAGCAGCAAAAAGGGCTTTGCCCACCACGTTGGCTGATGAGGGAAAAGCCCAGGCTCATCTGGAGCCAACAGGCTTTGACTAGCCTGTGATGGAGCTTTCTTGCAGTACTTTCCTCTCTGCCAGGGTGCGCATGAACTCTATGCTGGGGTGTTTCACTCTTTGTGTTTATTCATAGCAGAGTGACATTACCAGCTGTTACCAGCTGGGAAGGACAGGTAGAAGGAGCTCATGGTCAGTACTGTTTTCTAGGGATGGCCCTGAACTCCTTCCTCTGCTTCTCTTCTGAAAACTTACTGCTCATCGTGTCCCACTAATGCATCACCTGACTAGCTCTTACCTTCAAGTCCTCCATGGAGCCCCACTGTCACTACCCACTAGACTACACTCACGGCTTTCAGACTGGCCTCCCTGGCTTCATTCAACAACCACCTTCTAAATTCTCCCGATCCTTTGCACCACATTCCTCTCCAGCTTAACCACCTCCAATTATTGGCTCTCTGTTGATTACAGGGCAAAGCCCAATCTCTCAACTGACCAAACATGCTCCACAAACTGGCCTTTGCCTCCTCACCAGCTACCACACTGGGCACCCTCCCCAGGCTAGCTGCGCCCAGCTGCCCTTGATGCACTGTTTCCCAGCCCTCTCCTTTACACGTGTTCTTCCTCTGTCTCTGATGTTCTTGCCCCTGAATGCCCAACACACTCATCTTTCAATGTCCAACTCAAATGTCCTCCTCTGTGAAGTCATCTAAAGCCGCATTCCCTTCCCCCCAGCCCCAAGTCAGTGACTGCGTTCTTTGTGAGGACATTTGTCACTCCCAGTGAGTGGACTGCCTGGCTCCTCCTCTGGTTGCTGTGTGGGTTTTCTGGGGACAGGGAGTTCTCATTTCCCTCTGGATCCTCTGTGCAGATCACAGTGCTGGCCTGCAGCAAGTGCTCCATGTGTTTGCTGAGTGGGCGTGTCTAACCTATCTGCTGGCCACCCGCAGCCCCTCACCTGCTGGGCTCGCAGTGCATCCAGCTCTCTCTCCAGCCAGGTCCGCAGCCTCCGCTCCATCTGCTCTCGCTTCTCACATGCAGACTGCAGCTGGGTCAGGGCCTGCTGCAGCTTCTCCACTTTCTCCACGTATGCTTGCTTCTCTCTTAACTGAGTGGAGAAGAGTGAAAAAGAGCACAGAATTTAGACCAGCGATTCTCAAAGCAGGGGTGGAGTGGGGGTCAGATAACTATTTAAACTACTGGAGATGCTATTTAAACTACAGGTACATGTACCATCCTCCTCCTCTCACTCAGGTGTCCCAGTTTAGAAAAGATTTACATAAAAAGGCCATCAGTTACACCTAAAATGGCTAGGATGTTTGGCACTGAAGCCCCTCCCAGGACACCTGCTTTTGGTAATTTGCACAGCTTTGACCTCAGTGCTTAGTTATTGCATAATAATTATAGCATTTGCAAGCATTGGAAATGAAGTTAATAAAAAGTTTTTAAAATCATGAAAAAATACTTATTCTACAATGTTAAATTAAAAATCCAGAATCAAAAATTATATACAGCATTATCACAACTATGTCTGTCTGTTTGGAATTTATCTATCCATGAAAGAAAAAGACTGGAAGAAAATACTTAAAACACTAACCAGGTTTATCTGTATGGCAGAATAGTAACTTTTTCTTTATTCTTTTCTGTATTTTTCACATTTTCTATAATAAATATAAATTACTTTTATCATAGAGAAATTACGAATGCAGGCATACATGCATGTGTGCCCATTTGTGTATGTGTGAATAAATATAAAAACTTCTTATTACAGATATTTATGGAGTGACTTTCTCCTAAAGATTTCAGAGTCCTTTATAGATGAGTAGGTGACAGCCCTGAAGAGACAGGAAGGGCATAATGAACACTCAAACAACACAGTAACTGAGGAGATGAACGTTAAGGTTAAAATGATTCATGGCAATGTCACATCAGGTATGGACTTAGAATCATGACCAACAATCTCAAACTCTTACCCTCAGACTTTGTTTTCTTCCAGATAGGATTTGGCCCATGTTCATAAACCCCAAGCACATTTCTAACTTTCTGGGAATTGCCTAGTGCCCAAAATCATGCTGAGGCATTTGCTTGATCTGGTCCTGGGTGAGAGGACACCAGATGCCATTTCCAGTCATTCTGCACCTGGAATGCCTTGTGGGTGATTGAATCCTGAGTTCAACCTGTGATTACACTGGCAGGCTGGAACATGCTAGTGATTTAAGAGCTTGCTGCTAAGTGAAGTTTCTGACTTAGCAGGCAGCACTACCATAAGCTATGCCAATATCCTGTCCTCTACGAAGCAACTGAATAAATGGAGGTGCCTCTAACCTTTCAAGGAGGAAACAACTTTAGAGATTTTTCTACACGTGTTCTTGGGGTCAGTTTTCATCTGGTCCTTTCATTCACTGTGCTCTCGACTGATTGATTCAATTTAAAAAACTTTTGAGTACCTACTAAATGCAGGTTCCTGTGCTTCTTAGAAGCTTCATCACACATATTTTGTGTGCACCATTCATACACCACTTGCCATGTCCTCCACTGTATACAGTTTTCTGAGTGTGTAGCCACTAGAATATAAGTGACACAATACTTATTTTGGTCCTTACTGGGCAGTGTGTCCCTAATGCACGGAACAGTGTCAGGCATCCAGTAGACATTTAATAAGTTTTTGTCAAATAATTAAATAAATATTATCCCCCAAGCAACTGCAAGATCCTGGAAGGCACGGATCTGTCTCCTTTACCTTTCTATCAACCTTATATCTAGCAAGGTGTATGTAGTGATGAGGATGGTTAATAACAGTAATTATATCAGCCAACATTTTCAGAGCACTATCACGCCAAGCACTGTGCTTTATATGTAGTATCTCATTTAATCCTCCCAATAACAGTAAGAGGTAAAGTCCTTCATTATGTCCATTTAAGAGATAAGAAAACTGAGCACTGAAAAGGTTAAGTGACTTGCTCAAGGCCATGGAGCCAGGATTTCCTGGGTTGGGGGGTCCCTGCATGGCTCAACCAACTTCTGGAAAGTGGAGACAGATCGGCCAAACACCACCCCATCCCACCGCTAGTAGAAGACTTTTGCCTTTTTCTACGCCATTGAGATCCTAAAGACAAAGCAATTGAACTATTTTTAAAAAATTGTTAAGTCTGTTTTCTCCACAGGCACCAGTGGTTTATAGTCCTTCCATTTATTTCCTGCCCTGGACACCTACCAACCAATGGGCTTCAGGCTGAGTGTGAACTCTCTGCTGACAGTAGTCACGTGTGCCTTGCATACTTTGCTTGGCTCTGTGATGAACAGGCTCTGTTCTTATTCATTTTTATTGGCTCTGGTTAAAGTATCTGGCTTAGGAAAAGGAAGTGGAGCCCTCTGGCTCTGGCCCCACCCGACCCCGACCCCCCAGCCTGGTCTCACCTCCTCTTCCAGCTTGATGACCCTGGCCTGGGCGTTGCTCAAAGCCTGGTCCAGAATCTCAATGTGTCTCCGATGGTCCTCACTTGCAGTCCGCACTGCCACTAGCTCCATCTCTAACTTCTCCTTTTCCTTCAAGAATTCTTTGTCTAGAAGGGAGACAAACAAAACTACCTCTGTCAGAAAGTGCTCACCCTCTGGGCTCACTGCCAGTCTACATCTGGCAAGGATTAAAAATAAAAAAGCATGCACATAGTGGAGGATTGAATTACTGCTTTTGCTCCCTCACAATATTGGTGGTATGTAAGGTAAGGATTTTCTCAAAAACCAACTGTTAATTCAAGATACATTCCAGGTCACAGTTCCACAGATGAATAGTACACAAACAACTAGTGACCCCTTGTTCTCAATAACTCACCTCTCTATAACATCAACTTTAATGCTTCAAATTAATATTGTACCTATTCAGTTTTATGCTCCCAACATCCCCAGCTTCCATCTTCCAAGCCTGTGATGCAAGGGCAGGCGATATTTACAGTGTCATTCACAGAAAAATAAACCAAGGTCCAGAGATGTAAGCTCTTTGTCTGAGGCCAGTCAGCAGAGGGAAGCATCAAGCTCAGGACTCCAATCTCCAGCTGGATCCTCTTCCCATATGACCTGACCCCATATTTTCTCCTAGTCCTGGTCAGGAGCAGAAAGGGACAATTCTTTGGATTTAGGAAAACTGCTTTCCTGTCATTCAAGCACAATGTAACTGATGGTGATCACTGTCTTTTTTTGCATGTGGGGAGCCAAGGCTGGTGTGCCCCTGCCACTGCTACCCACCCTCCTATACAGACTTCTCTGCTGTTTTAGCTTAAGCAGGCAGGGTTGATAATGTCGTGCGATGATAACTTCCTGTACAAAACATTTTTCCTGTTACAAAAGTGATTCATTTTCTTTTTAAAATAAATGAGAACATTTAGACATGTTGTTTATAATATGGAGAGGCTTGAACAATCTTAATGTGTAATGAATGGTAAGGGACTGATTAAATCATTACTACTGTAAACTCTACAATAGGATAGGATGTGACTACTAAAATTAAAGAATATGAGTGACATGAAAAATAATCTTCATTATTCCAAAAAGGCGGTTACAAAACCACGTGCACACTATTCTGTGGCTTATAGAAAATGAAGGGCATAATTACAACAGCAGCAGTGACAAGAGTAGGCAGAAGTTGATTTTTATGTGACGACACCATTAGAATGCTTCATAGCAGTTATCTCAATTATCGTAGCAACCCACACTGAAACACAGAGATCCCAAGTCTAGAAACGACACCAGCCTGTTTTCGGTGGTTGCATTCATTATTTCCTCCTATAGTCATTCATTAATTTAACAAATAGTTATCAGACGTTAAGGACCAGCGCCACGAGCTCTGAAGCAATAGAAACAATGCTGCACTCGAGGAGCAGAAAATGTGGTTTTTGAATACAAGGCATGAAAATTAAAAAGGCTATGTAAGGCTGCAGATATCAGGTAACAAACACAACTTCAGAGCTAGCAGGAATCGCAGGAAATATCAACATTCATTTCTACCCCCTTTGCTCTATGGGTGAGGAAGGGAAAGCCCAGATGAGCAAAGGCCCTTGTCCAAGGTCCCATGGCCAGCTGAAGCAGAGCCAGGCTGGAAACCGGGTCTCCTGATGTCGTCCCACTACAACACCTTTCCCGTTTGACTGCACTACTCTCGTACTGTGAAATTACATCGATGAGATCAGAGGGCAATGGAACAGCATCTGAACAGACAGACTGAATGAGCACACTTGTAAAGCTAAGTAGTGGCTGTGCTTCCTAGAAACGAGGGCATTCCCTGCAAACAACATGAGGCCCACAAGAGAGCATTATTTGGGGGCTTTTTATGCCCCACTGCAATAACCAACTGCCCTCCCTTTTTCTCTTTCAGTGGAATTCGAAATGCTGCCTCTAAAACTTCCTTCCCAGCCCATGGAAATGGGCATATAAGAGGCCTAAAACAAATGCATCAGCAGCAGCCCATGAGCTCTGGGCCCCACCATCCACAGCTCTGAATGGACCACAGCACTTTACTCTTTCTGTGCAAAGTCACTGATGCTTGAGTACCAGCTCCCTGCGTTTGGACAACATCTCCATTGTCACGGTGCCCGCTGGCTTCATCTAGGCTCCGGAGGGCACCCAGGAGTTACTAGGCAGGCATGTCAGGGAATAAACCACTGGATTTCAGAGCAGAAATCAACCTAGGCATAAAAGTTCTTCTCTTTGTTGAGGGTAGCCAAGTAGACATCAATTTTGATTAGAAGCAGTAAAATGAGAGACTGAGCTCAAGACTCAAAGCTACAACCAAAGCTTCTTGTGTTTTGCAAATTGATGATCACAATGATCGCTATGTCATAATGACAGCTATTTAGATTAGAGTTCTGAATTAACAAATGCCCCTTCCCTCCAACATATACACACACAAACACACACACACACTCACAGAGGATCCCAGCATTTTCTATTTCCTTGACAGGCAGTATCATACTGTGGCTAAAGAATGCACTTTAGCATCAGAAAGACCTGGATTCAAATCCTAGGCTCATCACTTTCTAATTATGAGGCCTCAGGCAAGGTATTTAACCTCTACAGGCTTCAGCTCCCTATCTATCAAATTGAAATGGTAACATCTACAGCACAGAGTGGCTGGGATGACTCTGTTAATGGAGACGATGCATATGAAGTTTAAAAGGACCTGAGTATTCAGGACTTTATCTGTCTTGGTCATTATTGATTACCTGGACTGAAAAGAGTGCCTGGCTCGATAATATTGCTAAATAAACAAATGAGTATCTGTTGTGTGCCAAGTTCAATGCCAACTGAACAATAAATTGTAGCCCTTGTTAGTTATTGGGTATTCAGTGTCCTCATGATCTAACAGCTTCTGGTACACACTGTCCACCCTACCCCTGTACCCACTGCTTGCTTAGAAGCCAGATACTCATCTAATGGCTCCCAGGTCCCTCATCTGCCTGAGCTCCATAACCCCACAGTGTACACTAGGGGACAAAGATGTGGATATTGGATGAAGGCTCTATTGGCTCTGGAATACTTCACAGACCGCTGAAATTTATGGGTCAAAACATTTCTGTCCTGAGTTTGGTGACTTTAGACTTCAGGCTGCAGTAGTATCGTTTAGTATCGCTCACACTGGCTCAGAACTCCTCATTCACTAATAGGAAGTAGTGCTTTCAATTGTAAAGTTTTGAAAACGATGTTCATGACAACAGCAATAATAACAATATCTGCCCACATTTGTTGAAGGAGTACTGTGTTCAGGGAATGGTTACTTATATTATTCCCTTTAATTATTCCTTTTTTATTATTTCTTTTATTCCAAGTTTACTATATGTAGTAGGCACCATTATCAATCCTATTTTCCAGTTGAGGAAAAAGACATTAAGAAAGGGTAAGTAGTATTTTGCCCACGGAAATGTCGTTCATCAGTGGGAGAGGCAGCAGTTGCGTTTGTACCTAATACATGTTCACAAACATGGCCCCATACTGCCTCTCCTGCACCGGCAAGCATACAGATAAACTTCAGAATAACAGAAGAGCCTCATTACAACATAGCTCATTATTGTACACATTTAAGTATGTCATGGCTCATATATTTCTCAAAACACAGCGATTACATTCACAGGTGTATCCACTTACAAATATTAATTAAGCATCTACTACATGGAGGCATCACAGAGCACTGGCTAAAAGCATGGTTCTAGAATCAAACTGCCTGGGTTCATAACCAACTCTACTCTTCCACTTATGGTTTTGTGACTTTGGAAGTAAATGAACCTCTTTGTGCCTCAGTTTCTTTGCTTTTAAAGTAAGGATCACAGCTTACTTTGCTTTTAAAGTAAGGATCAGTACCTACTTCAAAATGCATATAGTAAGCACCCAGTAAATGTCAACTATGATAACACTGTGATTATTATTGTTGTTCCAGGAAGTGCGATAAATTCTGGGGCTACAAAGTGAGTAGGACGTAGTGGAAGAAAGGCAAGGACATAGGTGAAGGCAACATGACAAGTTGCTCTAACAGATGCATGCATGCATGGGGTGCTATGAGAACACAGAGATGACATCTCATGTAGGCCAGGGGGTGAGGCGGAGCGGGCATCAAGGCAGTGCGCCTACAAGGTTTGGTAGCTAAGCTCCCCAACTCTTTGGAGATGTGGAGACTCTGAGGTATATCAGACTTATTCTGAAAAGTCATCCTTTGGGAGATACCAAGGGAGACTCCTGTGGGTGAAACCACCTCATAGGAAGGTCCCTTCAGTTTATTATTAGCTAAGTCTTTAGGGATGGATCTCAAAAAAGACAAGTCTCATGCTGAAGTTTTGGTTGGGCTCCGATGTATATACTGAAAATTCCTAGAACAGGCAAGTTGACACAGGGAATTCTTGCCCAGAATGGTCTGTTTACTCAGTAGATATGAATTACCCTGAGCTATGTGGAGCAGGGAGTTGTTTAGCCTGATGGCTCTGGTCCCATTTACACAGAAGGATGTCTGCTCATACACTGTTTACTCTTGAGACCACAGTGATGGCACAGGCTTTGTAGCCAGGCCAACCTGGTTTGATTCCAGCACCTTCACTTCCCAGTTCACCTTGGACCTGTGACTTCACCTCTCTGAGACTCCATCTCCTCAAATGAAATTAACAAGATCTATTTTGCAGGGCTGTTGGCTGAGTATTAAAATGACTATCAGTAAGATGCCCTCCATGGGATTTTGGCACATAATAGATATTTGATAAATAACAAGAGCTAACACACATTCCCAGGGAGTTACCATGTCTCAGGCACTGTGCCAGGCGCTTTACAACAGAAGCTCACTCAATCCTCACATCAGCTCCACTTGGCAAATGAGAAAACTGAAGCCAAATGAGCTATGACAGTTGTACAAAGTCGCAGGGTAGTCTCACTTGTGCCTCTACCCACAGGTTAGTCTCCTTGCCTAAGGAAAGAGCAGAAGTGGATGGGACTAGAACTGAACCCAATAATTCCCTTCCCATCTTACCCTTCTTCTTTGCCAGTTCCAGCTAAGGTTCAAAGTGAACAGCCTGTTAAAACTCTCTTCGATTAT